TGTAGAATATAATTGCTGTTGGAAAATAAATTCTATGGTAGACTATATTGTGTCGTGTTCAAAGCATATCTTCTCCGAGTCAGCAGGTTTGACTCCAACCCATAGTTATAGGTAATAAATTATTAGATACATACGTATTTGTAAAGAAATAGTGACTATCGTAATTAGCGACAATAAATATTTTGATAATGAACAAACATTATATATAATTCTAAATTTCTACTGGTGGTTACATAGTGGTTAAGTTTTCATAGAAATAATAACAGAATGTATTAAATAGAATATAAAACTGGAAAATTGTTTACAACTGTATAATAGGTATAAGAAATGGGCTAATATTATGAAGACCTAACCACTACATATCCGAGAACAAGTTTACATCAAGCTTGGAACTGTTACGTTGCTTTAGTGGGTTTTGTTGGTCGACAGTATTGTTCTATCTCCTAAACGATATCATCGAAGCCGCGTACTTCAGGCTAACATAACGGTTGTGTATTAAATGTTTAGTGGTGTACCCGTCACTAGTATGACGTCACTGTTTAGTGCTCGCATCGGTGTCCACTGGCCCCTATTGAATGTTGATCGTTGTAGAAAATATATTTATTAGGTAATAATGAGTGTTTCTTTACTTACTTCTACTTAATGAACACTAGATCTCGTTGTTTTATAATATTCACCAATTTCAGTACAATGTCGATGAGGTTAGACGTATGATGTACGATTTATACTTGAAATATTAATATATTTATTTGTAGTTTCACTTTCATACTCTATCTGAGCTGGTCCTCAACTGTAACTTTATGTATAAGTATGGAATGTCAGCTAACATCGTGGACATTGTACTGTAATATAATTTGGATCTCATTTCGACTCTGTTGAAATCTTTAGATATTTTTATACCTATGTAAGATGTACGAATGTTTAGATATTGTCAATTTCTTGCCAACGAGTATTGTACGCGCATAGTATCAATTAATATCAATTACATGCCAATATTATCTACTCAATGTTGATTTGTTTGTATTGATATGTTTTACAATAAAAATTAATTATTAAACAGTTGGTACTAAAGATAAATTGGGATTTTTTTGGAAATTTAATTAAAAGGATTTTAAATTAAATGATTGTTACAAATTGAGGTATTTTCTACTTTAAACTCACATAATTGAAGGAAATGCTTTGTTTATCATAAACTGTATTTATAATTAGATAAAAAGACAATAAAAGTGATGTGACAATATTTCGACGGAACATTCCGTAGCCTTGTTTGTTGATTTATTGAACTTTTGTATTTTTCCAAACATCTAGACTTATGAATCAATCCTTCGTAATTTAGATATTTGTCATTAAGAAAGAAACTTAGATTGTAGTAATATTGGGACAGGATAAATACTATAATACAATAATTTATATTTAAATAGAAGAAAGTCAATTTAGAGATGTAATTACATCGATAAAAATGAAGAAAAAAGTATTATATCGAGTTCGACAAATTGAGATTTATCTATTCCCAATGTCCTAATATTACTACAATCTGCCAAAATTATATAATTATGTAGAAACGTAATAGATACGCACAAGTTACTCTGTACTATAAAGCCACTATTTTAGAACATTTCCGTTTATATACAAGCCATGCTGATACATACGTGTTTATATATATCGATGTTTATATACTTATGTGTGCTAGGACGGTGTTGCTTTCAAACTATTCGTGATTCCTGTTTTTATACGATCTTATGTGCTTCATATAATTAGTGTTATCATTAATGTATTGTAGGTTTGCAGTTTTAACGCGATGTTTCGTAAAAATCTTGGTGAAAACAAACTTTAAGGGCTTCTTAGATGTGATTTCTATGCATTTTAAAAAATTATGTCATTTATTTGATTTTTACGAATTTTTCTTTTTATTTGTTATCCGCAAAAATTTTGTAATAATAATATGAATATTTTATTATCTGATCTATCGCACAAATTCTATATAAAAATTAAAATATGTTTACATTGTAATATGAAATTATTTTTACACCTCGTACACGAATGTTTAGTGCTGTTAGTTTTTGTCTTTGTGTAGCTTTACTTTGTTCCTCAAGCTTGGATTAAATAATATAATAAAATTTTGTGTATTTTTCTCTACACCTTTAAATCTACAATCAACATGGAAGCATTCCAAACTAAAAGCTAGGGATATCTACATGAAACTAAATAATTGAAACTACAAAGTTATTGAATTAATATTTTACTAATGGATACAATATAGTTACATTAATCAACAATAGGTATAAATAACTAGATTAGTCACTACCCACTTAGTCGTGGTACATTTCCTTTACATAATCAGGTGACAGACAGACGACCGGAACAATTGACGCGACCATCACTCGACCCTTCTACACAAGTTATAAATACACGCGTTTAGCTTATAAATTAAATTTACTTTTTATATAAATTCGAAAATTAATGAATTTATGAGTTAAATGTGTTGAAGACAGCGATGATGGCGCCCTCTAGTCATCTCATTTGCGATTGTAGCGCCATCTAGCGTTGAGGATAACATTTATTTCTTATTAATTATTCTCAACACTAGAAATCAAAAAGGCGTTCGATACTAATATAGGTATGCAATGAATTGATATTTAAAAAAACTATTGTCGGAATACTGAAACGCTACTCAATTTTAAGTATAGTTCTATCTCTACAAATTCTTTGTAAAATGACAGAGATGGCACGATGTTTGAGCACGACTTAAAATTGAGTAACGTTTCAGTATTCCGGCATATATGCCATTACTTATTGCATTTTAGACTGAGTTTTATTTATGCAACACAATTTGTCCGTTAAAAGTAAAAATTCATATTATACAGAGATTCTTGTTTAAATTGAATTTTGCACTTGAATATATAGGTACTCAGTCTAACAGAAAAACTAAATTTAGTTAACTAACTAAAAAGATGCAACCTCATAATTACTTCTACTATAGACAATACATAAAGTAAATAATTCAATAAATTGAGGACCGTTTTGCACCTGCACTAATAAATGGTTACTTATATCTTACAATGTACGTAATTGAACCATTTTCTTTGATTGACTTATAAATTGACACTTAAAATTTTATAACTAGAAATTGATACTCGTATAGAAAGTAGAGAGTGTTTTCGAGAAGCTAAACCGATCCTCTGTCGCGGAGAACCTAACGGATAACCGGGGCTCCGGCTCGACGTGCAGGAGAAGGAAAGGGGTGGTTTTTAGTCAGTAAGAGTCTGACACTCCCTCCCACCTCACCCAGGCGGGAGCAGTACATAGATGATTTTCCTCATAAAAAAACCGATCCTCTAGTGTATCGATAAAACAATAATGTTCTCCATGATATTGAAGGGCAACTGAATAGCCATTGGCCAAGCTAAGATTTCATTAATAAAAGGCGAACAAGTTCCAGTAATTCCAGACTCGCTGTAATTACTGACATTTCTGTTAATACCCATATGAGATAGGTACATCGTATTTAACCAACGAAGCAATGTTAAAGTTTTTTTTACTTTTCTTACTATTGAGTTACGTTACAAAACGGTCCTATATGAAGCATGGGTCTAAAGTAAGGTGTGCTCGCACAACATCCAAGTTCAGTCTTGAGTATATTCTCTAAATTGACTAATCGATTCATCTGTAGTAATTACAATACAAGGTTACAAGGAAAGTATAAGCTCAGCATTCGCTAAGTACGATACGATGTTATACTTTTAATGTTTGATAAGACGATTTATTTTAAAAATCTAGTATCTTTAATGACAGAATGGTTGTCTGAACATTTAAGTGTGGATGAAATGGATTTATTAATTTCAAACTTAAAATTAAACTTATAAATGTAAAGTTAGAAGGTATTTAACAAAAAATAATATACGTTACAGTCCCAATAGAGGAATATTATGTCAAATCACGTAATAAACGTATTTACTAACCATTTAACAAAGGTGCGTGCGCGACACCACGTGGTACATGTGTGGCATCACTATAAAACATTCGATTACCGAATAATTCCGCTACTTCACATAATGTCCGACATTAAATTGTTTATAATATTCACAAAACTAATACGTGAATCATGATCTAATTACGATAATGAAGAAATAAAATCTATAACGACGTGCAAACTCGTCTGGAGTTATATAAAATGTAATACTGTTTACATACGTACAAAATTGGTCCATATCTGTCACACACCTTGTTAACAAAGACGTTTACTATTCAAAGTTTACTATTACAAAAGTGAGCTCATTGCTTTTACTTCATCAGTATCCTCTATAACAAAATGTGAAAAATCGTTGCCAATATTAAGTCATCACAAGAAATTAAACAAACTAAGAGCATGTGAAAGATATAGTCCTACTTCAACCCGATTCCTACCGTAATTACAATCGACGTTAGTACAAATTGACAGTACACAAGGCTTTATACAAACAACTATACAATATACAACTGAAACAATTAAATTCTTTAGCCGAACACCTACTTCAACAATTACTTCATAAGTACTCTAAATAAATGTCTTGAACAACTTTAGTCTTCTTATAAGAAATGGTCTGGCAGTTGTCTATAGTCTATCTGTCTACTCTACGTGCCTACCAAGATTGCTGGACATATTGTTACTCGATACGAGACGAGTAGCTTATCGATACCGCGACGCTAGTGTATACAGCTGGGTACATGTCAGCCCTCGAAATATCAGTCTAGTCAGTACTCATTATTGTCGACTAACGAAGACTAGTCGATATCAAAGGCGTGCTCTTGTACTCTGGGACGTCTCAAGTGTTTAGAAACCTAAACTAGAAGTACAAGGGCGTATCTTGTATGCAATAAGCTATCTAGTTCATTCTCACATAAGGTTGAAGTCAGATTTACAAAAAAATATTTTCAAAACTGTGATCCAGACAATTTCTTACTTAAATTAATATAATAATAATAATCATATAGTACAGTCTAATTCATTTATAAAATGATATAACTAGTTAAATTTAAAATAATCAATAGATCTACACAGTACTATATTAAATAGAGCCTCAAGGCAGATAAGTTTTACAGATAAAATATAAAATTTATATCAACAAATTATATAGAGTGGTGTTTACTTAGTGGCTATGTAAGTTGTTGTTCTATACGAAGACGTAAACAATATATAAGCTGCAGCAGCAATAAGATGATTCTTCTTAAGGAAGTTTTACTTCAGCAATAAAAGACAACATTAAATAAAGTCATTTAGAATATGTAGAAACTCAAACAGCCACTAAACAACACCCTGTATAAGAAAATCTATGATTTCGATAACATATCAGTGGCGACGATATAATTCATTTACTTAAATTTAATGATATGAAGCAAGCGCAAAGTTTACCAATTTCAAACAATTTAAAATGTTTCATAATTATAATATATATTTTATATAATAAATATTTCTAATATAATAATACCTATACACGCTTATACATGGAACATGTACTCAGTTCGATAGATGAATACTCAGCTGACATTGAGCCAATGCTTCACAGCTCATTCGTCATCAACTGTGTGGAAATTACATTGGTTCTAAATATACGCTTCGAATGTTCACGATAATAAATCCATGTATCGATTAAGTACATTCCATGCCTACCTTCGATACTTTTCAGTCAATAAATAGCCTCTTTCGAGAATATATCACGTACACATGTCTACCGCTAACAATATGAACGATCAAACATTAAAAATCTTTGGTGTGTTGAGTACTCTATGTTACTAAAATGAGTATTTAGTCGATTTACTATCGAATTCACACTTCTTTATTCTGAATTCATAACGATTTTGTCGAAAACAATTGCTTCCGTATTTCGATAAGCATTTTCTTATAATCTTTGCCGTATAGCAATTTAGGCTGAATATTTAAAAAAACTTTAAGAATGTAATTTGTTCGAAATAATTCCGAACTAAAGTTAGTTTAAAGTTTATTTATTAATCAAAGTAAAAATGCAGCTATATGCATATTATTTGTAATCGCGCGTCGCCAATTATTTAGCAATTCGATAGTATTAGGAAATTTTATAAATTGGACTTATGAGAATTAGATTCGTGAGAATCATTATTCTTCATACATTATAATTTAAAAGCGCATTTGTTTTTTTAAATGGTTGCAAAAAAGTGCAAGCCAATCATTTGATTCCAATAAAAATTTATGGTTTTTATCGATATTGTTGTATATATCGATATTTTATTTTTTATAGAGACATCTCCATTTTGTTACATTATTACAGTGTAACAAATATAAACTACAAATGGGTTTGTATGTAGTATTTCAAGTAATTAGTAAATACTAATTATTACATAGTTATTTGTCGATCGTCATTAAGTTAGATATTATTATTAAAATGTGTTTTATATCAGCGTTTAAGGTACTTTGGATCGGAATGGATAACCTTAAATTAAAATATTGGGACTACTTACTTCATTTTGAAAATGGGTTTCTGGAAGATATCTGTTTTATTGTGTTGAAACTATGACATAAATTATTTTACTTTCAGAAATGTAAATAAATCTATAGAATATAAAATTCAGTTCTATGAAGTTCTGAAATGTGATTTTGTCTGGAGAAAAATTGTGTTAAAGACTCCAAGCAATTAATAGAAGATTCTAGAAAGTATATACAGGGAAGACGAGGGTATTTTGCAAATTTCACCCTAATAACGATAGAAGTAAGATTCAAAAATAGATTTGTAAGAGACAACAGTGCTACATTTATAATTTAGTCTTTCAACATTCGCTGTTTGGGTTCTAAGTGTTTAGGCCTTTAACTAAAGTAATATTCATTCCGCTTTATACATCAAGTAAACCATCTTCGGAAGTTACTCTATTGACCTTAATTGTTTCGTTTCGGACTTCGTTATTTCAATAGATCTTTTCAATATCACAAATATGGGAATTTAAATAACCCAAAACCGCTTTATACTAACCCGTCATACACGTTGTAAGTTCCTCATACATTGAGTACAAAACAAAGTGATACAGAACTGAGTCAAACTGAACAGTTTTTATTTGGGACACTAATGGATTATTTCACTTCAAACGCCACACGTTCGCATTTACTTCATTCATGCTTTAAGATACAAACTCATGAACACTCACATATTACCCTACTTTGTATTATACCAACGTGATCCATTAGTATGCCCAATTCTAAAATAATGAATAACCAACCTTGTACTTATTGAAATAAGGTTCTAATTGGACTGTTGTATGGACGCGAGGAAGGCGGGGTCGACAGAGGCTACCTTCGCAGTCAGGAACGCATGCATGCAAAACAATAAGCTCTGTAGGATCTGGCATTCTAGTTCCTGGAACAAAAATATAAGAACTTAATTCATTATACCGATAGACCGACACATGATTTTCAACTGTATTACACAATAAGAAAATCAAAAGTCGATTGAATATATTTTGTTGTTAGGGATAGTTTACCTTCGTTTCAATAACTTTAGTCTCAGAGTCTTGGAAGTGTAGTTTTAATTTTGATTTGCCATCATCACTGGATCCTCGGAGTTGAGAAAACCTGAGAAACATACAATAAAGTATTACTTTAAAAATCAAAGGAAGAGGCCATCTGAGTAACTAATGACGTCTTCTACCTATGGACAATAATTTCGACCTTACTGAATTTTAGTTTAGCAGCGATGCTTTGAAGGCCGTGAAAAAAAATGTTTTTATAACTTTAGTCGTAAGTTGTATCTACTCACCGGTACGCCCAAACAGGTTTGGCCCCGGGCGTGCCCTCACTGAGTGAGAACCCGGCCGCCCAGTCTAACGTCAGTCCCGCCGCGCGGCCCATGTGTACTACTGTGAATGTCTTCTTCTGTAACAATACATACATTTGTTCAGATTTTTATTGGTAATGCTGGTGCACATTATACAAGGCTTGACGGCTTGACCATCATTGTATGCAGCAAGAAGGATCGAAGAAAATGCCATGATCCTTTTTGATAAACCTTTTTGTTTTAAAAAGTATTTCACATTCACATCTGTGGATTATGTAAGACAAAAATAAAATTACTTTACGTCAACGTCTGTCAAGTATTTTGTTCTAAGAATAAGAATAATTCGTTTATTATTTTTATAGGCTAAGGACAAAGAAGAATGTACGGAGACGGCAAACATGTTTGTACAATTTCGCAAACGCCTGAATGTGCGGATGTGCCGCCGACTGCTAACTTTTTTCAGAGACAGGTTAGATACAAATAAGTATTTTGAAATACGGTTTAAATAATGAAATAATAAATTTGGACTAGAGCAAAACTTCAGGGGCACTCCTTACCAACACGGAAGGAACGTATTCACGGCGCTGATGTATCCTGCCTTAGATGCATATGATGTTCTATTCAAACAACCCCACAGAAGTATTTCTGTAAGGTGTCATTGCGATAATCGAATGTAGTAACAGTACGAATGGGTTTCACATTACGTATGTTATAGTACAGTTATCATAGAGGTGACTATCGCCTGTCCCCAGCGCTGCGTGGTCCGCGGGCTGGTCCTGCCGAGCGCGTGGCACCACGGCTGTATGTTATAGTACAGTTATCATAGAGGTGACTATCGCCTGTCCCCAGCGCTGCGTGGTCCGCGGGCTGGTCCTGCCGAGCGCGTGGCACCACGGCTGTATGTTATAGTACAGTTATCATAGAGGTGACTATCGCCTGTCCCCAGCGCTGCGTGGTCCGCGGGCTGGTCCTGCCGAGCGCGTGGCACCACGGCTGTATGTTATAGTACAGTTATCATAGAGGTGACTATCGCCTGTCCCCAGCGCTGCGTGGTCCGCGGGCTGGTCCTGCCGAGCGCGTGGCACCACGGCTGTATGTTATAGTACAGTTATCATAGAGGTGACTATCGCCTGTCCCCAGCGCTGCGTGGTCCGCGGGCTGGTCCTGCCGAGCGCGTGGCACCACGGCTGTATGTTATAGTACAGTTATCATAGAGGTGACTATCGCCTGTCCCCAGCGCTGCGTGGTCCGCGGGCTGGTCCTGCCGAGCGCGTGGCACCACGGCTGTATGTTATAGTACAGTTATCATAGAGGTGACTATCGCCTGTCCCCAGCGCTGCGTGGTCCGCGGGCTGGTCCTGCCGAGCGCGTGGCACCACGGCTGTATGTTATAGTACAGTTATCATAGAGGTGACTATCGCCTGTCCCCAGCGCTGCGTGGTCCGCGGGCTGGTCCTGCCGAGCGCGTGGCACCACGGCTGTATGTTATAGTACAGTTATCATAGAGGTGACTATCGCCTGTCCCCAGCGCTGCGTGGTCCGCGGGCTGGTCCTGCCGAGCGCGTGGCACCACGGCTGTATGTTATAGTACAGTTATCATAGAGGTGACTATCGCCTGTCCCCAGCGCTGCGTGGTCCGCGGGCTGGTCCTGCCGAGCGCGTGGCACCACGGCTCGGCGCTGTTCATCCGCAGCCTGCAGCGCCTGCACAAGGAGCGCGCGCGCCACGCGTCGTGCGTGTGGCACCCCTACAGCCCCATCAAGTACTACTGGGACTGCATGCAACTCTTCTTCGTGTTCGCTGTCTTTCTTTACATGCCCGTGCAAGTCTTCATCACATGTAACTACTCTTATTTACATTTCTTTATTTGGTATAAAAAAAAAATCATCAGAAAAGTTCTCGGTATCACGTAGGTAGCAATTAGTCTTTTCTAACCCGAAATAAATGACAGATTTTATTGTTTTCAGGTCCGTATTATTACGACCCGTTCATTTTATTCACTGACGCGCTGGCTTTCCTCAACGTTTGTTCCCTGTTCGTGACAGGCTATCTTGAACACGAACACAAAATTATCATCCTAGATCCAAAAATGATAGCGATAAACTACTTGAAGACAAACTTCATAACAGATTTCATCGGGTGTTTACCTTTACAGTTAATAGAACCATTTAGTGAGTGTGAGTACCCGACTCATACAATCATGTTCCTATTTAAACTTCTAAGATGTACATCACTGAAAGCGCAATGGAAAAACGTCATCGGCCAATTGCAGCTGACGTACATCAACTACGTCGCGTTAAAGATATTTGTGATGTTGATCATGTTCTTTCATTGGATGACTTACATACATTATCAAGTACCAATATTATGCTATCATTTGTACGAAAGGACTGACGCTTTCATAGCATGGCTAAAACGGTTTCACATCATGACACATGAGGGTGGCCGGTATTCGATATTTCAGAAGTACAGCACGAATTTTTATTTGGTATGCGGGCTTTGTATCGGTGCGGGCTACTACACTCCGCTGGACACTCACTTCGTCCCCGAGCTAATGCTATCGTCGGGCATGGGACTGCTGGGGCTACTGTTCCTCACGTATGCTTTCTCCGCCCTCCTCCGCCTGGCGATATATCACCAGTTCGAAACTTACTGCTTCAGTGGCAAGTCCAGAGAGTTAGAGGAGTACATGGTTTTCATGCGGTTGCCGAAGTATTTGAAGAGAAAGATCAGATTGTTCATTAACTACAAGTTCAACGAGCATTTCTTCCACGAGGAGGCGATCAAGAACACGATCAACGAGCAGATCCGCCAGGACATCAACATGCACTGCTGCCAGCGACTCGTCATGAACGTGCCGATGTTCCAGGACATGCCGGTCGCACTCATCAACTCCATTATATTCAGTTTGAAGCAAGTCTTGTACATGCCTGGCCAGGTACTTCACTTTGATAACGTTTAGTCTCATCAGAGTTACAGTACTCCATGTTTTAATGTACTGTTCGCAGAAGGTGGTAGAAGTCAACAAGCCTGGCAAGTCGATACACTTGATATCTTCCGGAACTGTGGCAGTTATGGACGCCACGGGAAGAGAGGTGAGAACACACAATAATTTATTTGTCTCTACACAAATACTATACAGCAATACTCATGGCCTGGTAATGTAGGTGGCGCATCTACGAGACGGTGCGTACTTTGGCGAGAACGCTTTGTTATCGCCCGGCATACTACGCACTGCTACCATCATCGCGCTCGAGATTACAGAGATTTATAAGTAAGTTTATGTAGATAAAGAATTTTACTATACGTTTTTGTTGATGCAAACAAAAACATGACAGAGGCAATACGCTTAATAACATGAGGTTATTTTTGTTTCAATCTATCGCTTGAGGGTTTTTTGACAACTTTATTTTTAATTAATACCTTGCCGTCACCCGATGTAAGTCGGAACAAGATTAAATTTTATGTTTCTAATAACTATCGTAAGATACACTAAATTAACTAAAAATCGCGCATTACTCACTATATACTGAGAAAAGCTCTACTGGTTTCGAACCACAGAGGGGATCTTCCTCATGAGCAGCGTGCGCGGTCGTAGCGATGTCGCGCAGCCTACTCGCTACCAGTAGATTGCGCGATATCGCCTAGCGATTTTTAGTTAAGATTAATTTAGTTAGAGGACGTGAATGTATCTGAGGTCCCTCGCAGCCTGGACAGCGCGTCGTTCATGTCGTGCCTGCAGCCCTACCCGCACCTCAAGCGGCGCATGGACGACGTCGCCTCGCGCCGCGCCGCCAGGCACGCGCGCCCTAGGCACAAGCCGCCCAAGAACTAGACTTTTACTAAGTGATATCCCCTTCACTTTCACAACCACTTTAATTTATGTAATTACTTTAAGTTATTTTTCAATAAGTAACAAACAAATACCTAGTGAATTCTCAGTTGTTTTCTTTTTACTACATTTTTTATTCTTTCTACTGTGTTAATTTTAACACTGACAACTTTTTTAACTGGAAAAAGCATAGGTTAACACAGAAAATTCTATCTAAGCCTACAATAAAAAGATTCGTACTGACCCCGAGTCGTATAACAGAGTTGACAATGTTGGTGGTCCATGCGGCCTCGACCCTGAGTAGATCCTGCCTGGTCTCGGCACTGAAGTACCTGGGCCCGGGCGGCGCGGCCCCGGCCGGCCCGGGCGCCGAGCTCTGTACTAGGAAGCAGTGCTGGCGCCAGTCCACCGTCTCGCTCTCCTTCACCGTACGGAACATCGTCTGGTAGACCTTCAGGCTCTCTGGACATTTCGCCAACTCTGTACTCGACATCTAAAACAAATGTCAGAATTTTAAAACAGTCTGCAATCTTTTACACAAAAAATATGTTTTGATCGATTAGTTTCGGACTCGATTGGAGACCTCAATCAATTACAGTCTCAAAGAATAATTCAATGATGAGAGTAAACCGCATGAACATTATGTAACTTAGTCTGCGACTCTGTTAAAACAGCTTTTATTTAGCGTGACTAATTTATATTTAATTAATTTACTGTAAAAAATGTGTGTCTTGTCTATATAGCAATAGCAAAGTCATTACTTACGGGTGGAACATCGAACAACATAACATCAGTTCCCTTGAGTACGAGGAACTTGGGTCTGTAAGTCTGCCAGGGTTGCTGAGCTTGTACTACTCCCTCGTGGACCCAGCCCATGTACTCGATGCGCTCGCCCGGACCGAAGTGACGGTTGAACAATTTCATCTGAAATTAGGAAACAACTGAATGTAGATTCCTACTCAATATACGAATCATACGCATTTTTGTCGTTATTATTAGATGTTCAAAAATGCGATTTAGATCTAATTGTAAAAAAAAAAAATTGTTTGACATCAATAACCCAATCATGCAATCATTTGTACTCTGACATGACGTCAATCTTAAATGAGTGTTTACCTGCAGATTAGTAAGTCCTACAATGTTGTCTGAAATACTTTTTAACCACTGAGAAAGAGCCGCCGGGTCCTCTGCGTGGATCACTCCCGTCGTTAGATGAGGACGGGCACCACGAACCTGGACACACAAACATACAACAGTATACATTATTATGATGTTGTAAATGATACTGAAGTAGGTGATTTCTAGTGCAAACATACCTCAAACGCACCAGGTCGTAGTTTATCTGTTCCTAGCACGTATCTTGTGACGTAACCCATCATCAATGGAACTGTAATATTAATACAGATGTATTAAAATGATATTCCAAAAGTTGGATCTTAATTTTTTTCTGTAGAAACTGGTCAATAAAAGATAGTGTGAAATTAAAATATTTAGGAAAACGTAACAATAAATAAAAGTTTTGGCTTCCAGTAAAAGGAGACTAGAATTGAAATGTGGTCAGATGAAAATGAACAAATTAAAAAAGCGATGAAAGAATATCTGAGGAATGATTATGAAATATGGGTTTGTGACGATGCCTAATAGAAGAGAATGAAAGAAGATGGTAGAATGACGATAGTTTGAAGTAGTATTAAAGTATAAGTACCGGAGACGACGTCCCGCCAGTCCCGGTTGGTGTCGGGCACGTCGGAGGCGACGGAGGGCGGGCGCGAGCCGCGCGCGGAGCCCGGCGCGCTGCCCGGCCGGCTCGCCGCGCCCTCCTCGCACTCGCCCCACGCGCTCTGACAACACACGCACTCCTATCACTAATCTAGACAATTTTCGACCCCGGCCGCACTAGAGCATCGGCGTTTTTAAAATTAATTGTGGGATAAAACCGCAAATACGGCTTCCGTTTCTTTTTTTCCAAAGCTAAGCTACGTATTAAAAGCATCCGCCCTAGTGCAGCTAGTACCTTAGTCTAAGCCAAATATGCAAAACATTTTATATGCCTCTTCCCTTTACATGATACAAAAGAACACTATGTTAAAATCCCAGCGATATCAAGCGCAGGGCGACTACATAATTTCAAAGCACATGAAGTAACACCTCAAAATGTTTATGTCCTAATATTATGACAAACATACCTGCCAACCCCCATTAGTTTGTTCAGTGTTCTTCTCAGTATTGCAGTTAGCGTCTACGTTCTTGTTGTGTAGTGACGGGTGGTCGTCACCTGTACTGCTGTCTGTGTCTGACGCACCGTCCGCTGAAATAATAATATAATATGAAAAAAAAAGTACTACGGGAAAAACCTTTAAAACCTACCCCAGATAATTGGGTCCTAAATCCTGGGTCAAAAATAAATTAATTTGATTTTTCAGTCCAATTAAATATTAAAAAATAGTTACACTTTCATTCATTGATTTGCCAATATACTTAATTTTCGATTTATTCAGATATTTTTTTTTAGATATAAGTGTGCTATTTGACGCAAAAATAGGATGACGTCATAAGTAGGGATTTCGTACAAAATTCAACAGTATCGTTTTTGACGTTTCGATAGAAGTATTGAATTTGGCTAGTTGTCAACTACCGTATTACGTAATAATGATGTGATAAAATAATTAAATAGCTACAGTTAGACGCTATGGTAGAAAGAGTAGTATTGTTTCCCTCACCTTGTTTCTGCAGGAAAGGTGTCGCGGCTCTGTAGTGCTTGACAGTGAGCACGACAATGTCTCCTGCATTCCGGAGTATGTTCACCGCATCATCGTGCTTGCACGCCGTTATGTACTCTCCGTTAACTGCAATAAAGACCATTTTTATATGTAACACATACAAAATCAAAGAAATAATGTTTGGAGTTCTTCAGTAAGGAGATTGAGAGAACGAAAGGACACACTCTTATCAGTTATGTGACTCACGTTACTATGTAATAATATTCCTAAAACAATAAAATAACTGATTGTTTGATAATTTAATCGTTTATTCCACTTTCTAAACTATTGTAATATGCAATACAAATTCTGCAGACACATTGCACTCAGTAATTTTTATTGTTCCGCATTACTGCGGTTGTATTTATAGCATAGCGCGGGCGTTTGATCCCGGTAATTATATGAAGCTCTTGCACAACGGCGTCGCTTATGAAATCATCTTTTCTTGATCTAACATTGATGCGTTAACTGACGAACTCGCTGACCTACATGTACGAGAATACATTGGTCGCTTTATTGTGACATACTTTAGATATCAAACGGATCCTGGTATTTAAACAAGTACTGTGCCTAATATTCACTATTGTACGCTTAATCCGCATCAAACCCCAGATCAGATAAACAGCCAAAAGGTAGACGTGGATACGTGATAGACGTGGTGAAGGACTTTGATTTATAAGATGTGTACGGAATCAAATTATCTCCATACATCAGATCCATTAAATATTTATGCGAAATTCAAAACAAAGCTAACTTGAACGAATGAATCCTATCAATTAACACGGAACAGACAAGTAATACAATATTAAACAAACAAGACTGTCAATCATTGTGGAAGCTCGTGAAATTCGTTTAGATACCCATCCATTCTGCCAGTCTGCCAATCAATCAAGCTCAAATTATGCCTAAAAACGACACAGTTCCTTCCCAGGAGTATTTAGAATCGTCTAAATTGCTTCTAATTGTTGCCTCAGCGTAGTATTTGCATCCAGTAGCATCTAATTGCAACTTGTTAAGCAATTGGATGGAACCGGCGTTGCAACTAATTCCAGGAATTAACTGTAATCTACGGCTGTGTAGGACGAGAGATGTGCAAGATAAACAATTGTACTGAAGTTTTGCACGTCTGTATTAGACACAATAGAAAATAAATTGTAGATTAAACTAGTTTTGCATTCTGACAGACAAGAGGTTAATCCAGCAATCACTTTGTCAGACTATTTTTATCCCTTCCTTCCCTATCCCTTCCCATTCCCTTCCATGCATGGCCATTTATATACACAACTCAGAAGAAACAACTAATAAGGCAATATCAGAGTGCTGTTCAAGCGATGGCATATAAGTATTCGAGAATATCTAAACCCTACCTAACACCTTAATCTCTCGAGTCTAACAGAAAAACCTCAATAGAACCCGACCACCTGACGGGTACAATACCTGTTGATGCTTGCACCTATTCGCTGTTCCGCGAAACCAATTTTAGTTCCGACGAACCTAATTAATGAAGACAAAAGGTTGGTGAATATTTTATTGGCTGCTAACATGTTAGCAAAGGTAGTTTAGTAAAGATATATTTATTTAAAAGTTGCGGTTGGAAACTGATTTACCTCATAAAAACAACTAGTCTAAAGAATATAGACGTTTCTTTCCCTGCAGGATATTGATTAGCTATTTTTATTCAGTGGTTTTAGTTTTATTTCGCCATTCGTCCGTATCGTCTTAAAATACATTGCGTCAATCCCTAGGCATATCCTTGTGAGCTAACGTTAAATCAATACCTAGACTATTTCGATCTTTGTAACCTCGTTTTTGTTTACCCGCTGTAAACATATTTACTAGGTCAGTGTACGACTCCTTTTGATGGTTCGGGCATATTGGGATTTCATCGATTTTCGAATATTAATTGTGATAGTATAACATGGTACTTGTACCATTCTGGACTACTTACGTGCATGCTATTTGACTTCAGTGTGACGTAACTAATCGTCCAAGTGTATGTGCTTACCTTTAATAACAGCGTCTCCGACAAACAGCTGGCCGGTCTGGTCTGCCGCTTGGTCCTTGTATATCTTTGAAATGAGGATAGGCAATTTATGTTCAGCACCACCTTTTATGCTAAGCCCCAAACCACCAACCTTCTGCCGCGTAATTTGGACCATTCGCTCCTGGAAATCAAGTTGTTAATAAGAAGTTTTTTAAATATCAAAATCTTAAAATTATTCGTACAATCCAGTGCTGGCAAATGAATATACAAAAAAATGAATAATTCACATATTATCCTGTATTGAGTGTCGTGGTTAAACACAATGCTTAATCGGATTTGTTTAACGTCAAAAAGTTAATTGGATTCATTAATTTGCATGCCCGTGTGAGCGGCACGACACAATGCTCAGTAAACATTGTGTTCCAGAAAAATACGTTTCTTTTATAACCTCCGCAGAGGAAACGGAAGTAAACATAGATTAAAAATGTTAAACTTGTTACGTTTTTCATTTGTCATGTACAAAAGAAGCATGGAAGCGTCTAATTTTAGCAGGAAATGTAATTATATCAACAATGGGAAATTTTAAACACAGTCCCGGGTTTAAGTTCGCGTCTGTCGGGTTAACTTCACGGAGATACCCCAGCTACCTGCACTAAATGTTTCATTGTGCGTTTAATAATTCACAACTACCGCCCATTAGCTTGCTCCCGGCTTCATGTAAAAATCATTATCTGCGTGGATTTATGTTTGGATTGTTATGGCTACTGCCCACGACTTTTTAGTATCGTGCCCATGATATTTGCAAAAGTTTTCTTTGTTATATAAGGTAAATATACCAACAGAACGGTGTAATTTAGGAGCACTCGTAAGCGTATATATGGCAAGAGTCAGTCTTCAAAGTTCGAATTATTTAACTAATTTATTGAAGGACTATTTTCTGTTTGTTTAATTAATGACACTTGAATACCTTCAAATCAACCCGGTCAAGTCTGGTAATCTCAACAGCACTTCTTGACTATAACATGGAAGAAGTTACAAAAGAAGCGATTTTACCACTATCAATTTAATTTTAATCATACGCCAAACACATTTTTCGTGCTATAGCATTGAGCTCAATGTGCTATGGGTATATACATCGCCACTACAGCGACGACTCTACAAACACTCGAGAATATTTTCTGACGGAAACAGTTCATAATGAAACTGTGAAGTAGGTATTTTGAAAGTGTAGAGAGGCCAGGGGGTAATATCGGTGACCTATGGCTTTATCGTGATGTCGGAAGTGACCCAGTTGCACCTCTGGCTGCTATTATATCAGAAGTACTGGCCCGCCATAGGACATGACTATTGTGTCACAATACAATGGACATTAATTGTTACATCCATTTTAAATTCTCAGTTGATTGCTCTAAAAATATTTTCATGATGATTGACACTGTACCAGCCAGTCGAACAATGACTATAGATAGATGTGCAGTGGTATCACAATTTATAGATGAATCGTGCAAATGGCGTTAAAACGATAAGATCAGACTTTTATAGTTACATATTTTCTTTCGTATAATGTAGGTAGGTAATATTCAATTCCTAGATAAATGTAAGTCCTATAGGAATGAATCGAATGGTTGGACGTTGGACATCGTTAACGTTAATGACCTTCGTAGTATTGAATCAATCAATGATCTATTAATCAACTTGCACACGTGATTGGCGCATGAAAACTCCATTCCATATCAACGGGCAATCTGTGGAATTAGTCCGCATGCTATGCAAAAACTACGGCCGTGAACTTTACGTGTTGTGTTGATTTGTTTTAAATTCTTTATAGCGAGTTGTTGGTTGTTGTACGCAGACAAGAATGGCTAATGCAGAGTTTACTATCAAACAAATCCCAACACACAAGGTTAATGAGTTAAATTTATGTAAACTTGCCACGAAATAAAACTAGCCACGTAAACTACACGAACGTAAAACCTTTTTCAATTAAACCCATGTTTTAAGTGCCTGTGCTTACATTAGATTTTGATCAGCCGAAACAATAATTACGGGCCATATTTTATAGTCGCTGTCGATACAATCAAAACATCAAGGGAATTAATGATAGCAGCCTTTCGAGGGCTGTTTCATATTAAAATTTATTGGAACAGTATAAGTACCTAATATTGTGATATTCATCAGATTTTAATGAATTTAATTGTGAAATAAGTAGGTTAATCTATGTAATATGTATTTTATCATTTACCTATGCATTTCCTACTAGTTACACAACTTGTATAAGCAGTTAAAAAAATAATTTTATAGAGTTTTATCACGATCCGTACAGCCGTTCTAGCGTGAACAACAATCATAGGTACATTTAAGTAGTTAGGTACGAAACTTCTAATAACTAGTTAGTTGCGAAAGTCAACGGCTGTCTCTACAAATTTCAGTTTGCATGACTTACCCTAGCATGTGGCACATTTTTATCCTTGGTCGGCTGCACAGGCACGGGGGCCTCGCGCTGTACGGTCACCGCATCCATCGTGAGTACCAGCCGCGCCGGCCTCGGGCGGGACTTGCCGTCCGAGACCTGCACCATGCCTGTACGTATCTGGAAATTGGAGATATTGTTACAAATATTCATGGTGTAAAGAAATATATTATTATGTTTTTTTTGGACTTTAAATGTTCAACAATTTCAAAGAGCTTAATTACAGAATCCAAGCCATGATTCTGTGAGACAGTAAGACAAAATGTTGTTAACACTGTCTTAATGCTGTCGTATGGTAGCCGGGGCTCCGGCTCGACGTGCAGGAGAAGGAACGGGGTGGTTTTTAGTCAGTAAGAGACTGACACTCCCTCCCGCCTCACCCAGGCGGGAGCATAAAATTGCTGTCGTATAATACTGATTAGAACAAAAATATTCATACATTGCATATATTACATACATAACTTCACGCCTGTCTCCCATGGGGGTAGGCAGAGACTACGGAACGCCAATAACTAGGATTCCTACATACTTCTTTTGCTTCATCAAGTCATCATTGTTTTCATGCATGCTCATCGGTTAAGGGTACTTTTAATTTGGCCCTTTAATATATCACCAATCTGGTCAGTATATGTCCGTCTAGGGCGTTCTCTACCGACAGCCTATTCATATCCGCTTAGTATACTTCTTTCGTTACTCTACTTTCATCCATCCTTTCTACTTGAGAACATGTAGAAAGGATGGATGAGAACATGTAGAAAGGATGATGAATTTATAAAAAAATTCAAAACATGTGCAACAAAATTCATCTGTTTAATAATCATTACTAATATTGATTATAATTAATTGGATGCCATCTATATTTGTTAGCAAGTTATTTGTAATATTTCTTTTACAAATAGCATTCCGCAAAATGAAAGCTGTGTGATATTTTCTTCAATATGTCGGCCTCACTGAATGAAATTAAACGCCATAGGGGTCACCGTTAGAGGAGGATTTAACTTCAACAGTTTTCTATTGGCAGTCAAAGCCTTAATTTACCATTGATTGTTGGATAACAATAAAACAATTTCGATGCAAATATTAAAGCTTGGAATGACATGCCACCATAATGAATCTATTGTTATGTTGACAAACAATGAAAGTGCCTGTCTAATTAGTAAGCAATTAGACAGTTAATATTTTTGCCAGGCAAACATTAAAAAAGTAACTATGTAAAAGGCACATGACTTTATTGATTGTAAATAGTTAGTTACAGGATGGTACACTGTTTTTGAAATGGTGACAACTATTCGGGGTCAGCAGTTAATAAAGTAGCCACTATGACTTTTTATTTATCCTACAAAAGAGGTCCATACCATTGTCGTCCAACGTATGGAACATCTAAGTGCAATTGAATTAAATCAACACAAAATGCATTTTATTTTTGTTATTTATAAATTTATGATAGCTACTAGCTATACCAATGAGAAGAGCTTCTTCTTACCTAGCACATGAGTCGAGCAGTTCATCCTAACTTCATTTTCTATGAGACAAAATAACCTGCACTCCCAACAGGGTGTTTGTGATTTTGTCTCTCTCTAATGAATATTTCTGTATTTATATATTATTTTTATTAGTCATTGGATTTATTTGTCTTACAATTTGCAGCCCTGTTCTACATGAATAAATATTCACAATGTAGAAAAGTGGGAACTAACAAATTAGATCACTATACTTCACCACAATTTTTACATGAGGTTTATGTTTTAAATCATAAAATTAGTGTATATAGTTATTGGAAAATGACTGGGCAGCATTACATTTACCTAATGCCTGACACAAATATATTTTTTGCTTACTTGAATTTTATTAAACAACTACATACTTCTAAGGTGTTACTGGAGGCTCACCGAAATCCTGTCATAAAAATAATGACGAAAATCGAATATACCTAAAGCTTCAAATATTATGTCAACTCTGCTTACCTTTTCATCTTTCTTCTCCTCAATAGGCGTCATCATTGTAGAACATACACACCATAACGATATAAAAACTTTTGGAACGTTCCAAATGATATAAAATTCGATATCACATAAAATAATTGCGGACACTTGCCAGTCTCACTAACTTCGGCCACATCACGATTTCTTGCAAAGAATTTCTAATCAAAACTTCATTTCTAATTAGCCCTACTGTTGCTTCTAATGATGATAAATTAATTATTTATGAGTTATACATTACAAATACTAAAAACAGGTCACTGGCATACGATAAATCAATATAGGTGAACGGCATCAAAACAATTGAAATACGACGGATTTACTACGAGCAAAGAACAATTATTAATTCTTCATTAAAATTAAGTTACTAATACTTAATGGTTAGATGGTTTTCATTGACAAAATACATTATTGTAGTACAATAACAAATATTTTCTTGAAAAATTGACGACGGACGACACCACTTCCTATGCTCACTAAGTATATACTAGTGATGTTTGCGTTCCACCCTACTCTGGCTGTCTAATCAATCTTACTAAGACGATATATCGATTAGTCGACTTTTATATTTAGTAAAATCGATACCGTGCAATCAATTTATTATCTAACTTGTATGTGAATTAATTTAGATTTGATAGATGTGAGTAACCGTACGTAACACTACAAAGTTCACAGTTTTACGTTGCTTTACCTCCAAATACCAAACACTTGAGTTGTTTATTTTGTATGTTGAACTAATTAATAATTTTGTTGTCCAGGTAACACTGGTTAAAATACATTAATATTGGTACAGTTCATGCTCGCTTGTTCCAATAATGAAAGTGTTCTTTTATGTCTTTTTAAACCACCTAGTTATTACGACTTCTGGTAGATGGCGCTTATCTAAATTTTACATTTAGTCGAGCTACTCATTTCCAAGAAAAATGGAAAGATACTGAAAATTGTTGAAAATCATCCCCTAAATTTGTTTTCTAGCTACTAAAAAAAGCTAGTCTAGCTACCTACATTATACATCTTACTTATTTATTTATTTATTTATAGACTAGCTACATATTAGACACTGGAGAGTTCTTGGGGATATACGGGCTTGATATTTATTTATAAACTACATTTAAAAAAAACGACTTCAACTCCCTCTTTTTTGAACTCGGCTAATATTAATTATTGTATTATCACTAATACCTTTTCATAAATTGAACAAACACTTTTCTGAAAACCACATCAAAATCGGTTCAACCAATCGCGAGATAATCGCACATACGGGTTGACCGCACAGTTGGTGCGGTGGCTGGGCAACTGGCTGCCGTGCAACGTGTCGTGGGTTCGATTCCCGCACGAGACAACACTTTGTGTGATCCACAAATTGTTGTTTCGGGTCTGGGTGTCATTGTGTATGTGAACTTGTATGTTTGTAAACGCACCCACGACACAGGAGAAAATCCTAGTGTGGAGCAACGTTTTATTAAAAGAAAAAAAAAACTGAAGAGGCCTTAAAAATGTATAATGTTTTTCAACAAGTATTCTTCCAGAAGGTGCTTTTTTTTGTTTCAAGTCTCAGTTTTTGACTGTAATTTCTTCCTTGGTATACAATTGACTGTGTGACTGCCGAGAATGGTCTTAGGATCAACTTCTGGGTCATAGAGTTGATAGTTTGACTGATAGGACAAATCGCTCATTCACTAGAATGGCAAGTTCCTTGTTTATTTTATAGGCTAACTAGCGACCCGCCCCGGCTTCGCACGGGTACAATATGCACGTTTTATACGTAAAAACCTTCTTTAAGAATCACTCTATCTAATAAAAAAAACCGCATCAAAATCCGTTGCGTAGTTTTAAAGATCTAAGCATACATAGAGACATACAGACTGCGGATAGTAACTTTGTTTTATATAATGTAGGCTACTAATAAATGGTTGGTTCACTGTTTATTGCATTTTTAAGTTAGCCATACAAAATACTACATACATACCAAATACAAAATACTACGGGAACGGGGATATAAACGGGGAATAAAAAATAAATATCATACCACAACACACATCTTTATTTCTTTCTTCCGCACTAATATCAATAATTTTATTATTACACAACATGTATATAGAAAGATTTTTATACAATAGTGTATAATTAATACCTATCAACTATATTAATCAACAATATAGTAAAAAGAATTACGAATTACTTAAATACTGGCAGTCTATTTTAATGATATGTATCTTTTGCAGTTTGGAACAGCCATTAACATTACTTAAGATCTACATAATTTCATAAATTAATTTTAAGTTTATTATAATTTTAAAATATTTTATGTGCATCTGATTTTACACGCCATGCGTAAATATTATTTTTAAGAATTTAGAAAAACCTCAGATGCGCATATGATATTTTTAAATAAAATTTCGCTGTGAGATTATTTTAAGCACGTTAATAGTAATATACTTTTTCAATGCTTAGCTTGTTTCTATATGGACAGCAATTACTTCTCCATGATGATTTGTAGTAACTAGGTAAATCTCACAGCAAATTAGTAATTTTCGTTAGACTTATCATCTGCTAATATTTACAATTCATTAGATGCCATTTATAAATCTAAACTGTCACAGATTAACAGTGTTAAATAAATCACATTGTCATAAATAATTTAGTTAACAATTTAACATTAAGATAATGGGGTGTCACAGTTTGTGACGTAATCACATGCATGAATTAAGCCCTTTTTACAAACAATTGACAGCAAACGAGTCGATTAATTTCTTTCTTAGTCACTCAATCGCATATTTTCTTCCAATCGCACAATTCAATATAGAAAATGTTCTCTTCTTTAAATAGTAATTAAATTTCACAATATGTATGAATGGACTTTCAATTAGAAAATTATTTCAAAACACTAATGTTACACATGGATTGTACATTCTCGCCGTTCTTGTTCTTTTCTTTGCTGATATCTGTGGACAGAAGACGATAAGATATCTGTTAATAAGCAGTACCTATGTACGTAAATATGGATTTTTCTTAGTGGTAAATGGAGTAACGATACTTTAGATGCAAATATGGTGGGTGTTGATATAGTTTTTACGTTATCTTCAATATTGATTGATTGATTGAAAGTGCATATTCTTACTTGTCAATTAAAGAAGATATATCAGCGGGGACCGGGGCGAAGCTCCCCGAGAGGCCGTCGCTCCCGTTCGGGCCTCCGCTGTTAAAGATAGATTTACTTCATTACCGTTAATAGATGTGTTTACAAATAAATTAATAAGATTTGTTAGGTATCTAAGTTTGTAGCAAAGCCGGTTTGTTGTAAGCTTCATGTTGGGTATCTTTGGTGCCAGTAAAACAAACGCTTAATATAAAATGAATGTCTATGGATATGAAAATATACTTAACAAAATCAACTTAATATTCCCAGAAAAAACATAAATAAATCAAACAGACTACTGCTTTACCTAAAACTTGATACTTTTTTACTGTAATAATAAAATAATTATTAAAGCTTTATTTTATTTTTAAAAACGAAACTATTAAAAATATGGTAAATAAAAAACAATGGAGGTGCATGGACAAGGTGAGCGGTGAGCGGCGAGTGGTGAGGAGTGAGCGGGGGAGGTACCTGAGTTCTACCTGCTGGTCGTGCGGGCGCTTCGCCTGCCACTGCCGTATGCACTGTTGCAAGGTGATGTGCCAGAACCTGGTCAGTAACAAAAATATAAAGCTTAAAATTGGTAAAACTGTAGTCTATTGATAATAATATATCTTTGATTCTCATTTAATATTGATTGAGAAATTTTTCAAATTTCTGCAATAAATTATATTTTGTTTTATCCCAAAAAACTTAGTATTTATATAGTAGTAAAAAAATAAGGAGTACAATTTACTTACCTTTAGTTGTAGTATTGGCAGCACTATCGCTGTTGTCATCAGAGTCTGTGTGTGTATCTCTCCAGTTATTGGAGGGGGGGCCACCGCCTGCGCTGGCGCAAGCAGCGCGCATACGATGCCGTGCTTCCACTGTCGAGCATTTAGACAGACTCGATTCATCTGTTGGTACAATAATCATAGGTCCAAACCAAGTCAAGGTTTGGCTAATGTAGGTATCTTATGTGATAACAGTTAAGCACTTATTAAAACATTATTATAAACAAAATTTGCAAATCAAAATTATTTTATATGTTACTATTTTGATTACTAAGGTATTATGTAACAACACTATTTAGAATACAAAGAAAAATGTCAAGATCTTTTACCGCCAAAAATGACATGAATTTAAAATTGGAAAGCAACGTAAAATTTTAATATTCGTACATAATTCTATTTAATTACGGAAACGGAAAGCTACTTTTTTTGTTACATTGTACACTAAACTTGTGACATAATAATTTTTGTATTCATCATCATCATCATCATCAACAGCCTATAAATGCCCACTGCTGAGCAAAGCCTCTTCTCACACGGAGAAGGTTAGAGCATTAATCACCACGCTTGCTCAATGCGGGTTGGCGATTTCAAACTTATAATTAGAAATTATAAGTTCAGGTTTCCTCACGATGTTTTTCCTTCACCGTTTGTTAGTGGTGTCTAAATAATCTTAGAAAGTACATATAACTCGGAAAAAGTCACATTGGTACTTGCCGTTGGTAGGTTTCGAACCCGCACCCTCATGCATGAGAAGTGGGCGTCTTAAACCTCCGGGCCACCACGACACTACGGCCACCACGACACTACTACTTACTAATTTTTGTATTACCTTCAACTTATGTACAATTAGTTTTAATTGATGTAAATAGGAGAGGTAAGAGTTTACCGTATCTGTAATGATCGCAGGCGCGATGTCGTCGACGGTGCGGTGGCGCGGCGTCGTCTTCACGCCTCGCAAGCGTTCGGAACTGCAGCGAGTGCGCCGCTGATACGCCGAATGTCGCGTAAGGACTTATTTCGTATAACTCCGCTAAAGAATGAGCTTATTAGTAACAGTTTTACTTTTTAATATTATTATTTTGAAGTAACGTATATTTAAATAAAATGGGTACGTTACTCACCTGAGGAGTCATCATTTGATTTTTCGTTTCCATTGATAGAGGAAGACGAATATAGTTTTTGTCCCTCTCTTAACTTTTCTCTTTCCGCTTCATTGCTTTCACTTAACTTTCTGTCATCTCTCATGTAATGGTCGCTTGAAATGCAGAAGAATCTGAAATAAATTATAATAATAAGTTTATCTCCGGTTGTTTTATAACTGGCCATAAATCTCAATGATTGGCGCACAACAAAAATATGTTTCGACTTTACTACCTGCAACTACTAATTCGATTATTGAGGCAATCCACATTCACTGTCTTTAGAATAATATCAAATATTCAAATACATAAGTTTTGGAAGGTTCCTAGAATATTTTTAACTCTCCTTTACTTATCAATGGCTATAATGAACGAATTAGGGTGTCATAAATTTTGTTGACAAACCATCAGAGTTGTAGAAGGTAAGTAGAAGTTACACAAATATATTTAGTGATAATCTTACTTCTTCTTCCCATGGACTAGACACACAATAGCGGCGAGTGTGACGACGATGACCACGCCACTAGCCACACATGACACCAGCACTGTACGCATCGAGGCGGGGCGGGACGCTCCCGACAGAGGAGATGATGGCTTTATTGGGGGGATGCGACCTGAAAAATGAAGTGGAGTATTAGGCGTACCTCATCACTATCCATTTGCTAGCCTACACAGTGAGCAAAGTGGCTAAGCAACCCATTGCAGCTCAACGTGTCTGCCTATGTAAGTATAATTATGTGTGATCTGCTAAATTATTATTCCAGGTTATCCGGTCCCTTTGCTTTTTTATAATATCACTCAAGACTCAAGAGATAGTACTTAGAAATGTAGAGAAGAGAAAACAATGGATCTGTTACCTCCTGCAAGAGTGTGGGTATCAGCATTTAGAGTGACCCGCTCCATACCAGCATCACTATATGCTTCCACCGCCAGCTCGTACCAAGTGGCTGGTGTCAGCTCGGCTACCACATGACTTGCTGAGCTTAACCCATCTCCAACCTTCGGCAATATATTTGTACGTCAGATTCTGAACTTAGACATTAATTAGTTTTAGTTGTTATGGCGCATCTTGTGGTGGCATTTAGGAAATCAAGTATTGGTACCCCAAAAAGTGAACAACAACTTTATTGGTTTACAATAAAGTCAAAAATCCATAAACAATTTTGAGGTAAATGAAAAATGTCTCTTATGACTTTACCTTGATCCAATGTTCTGAGCCAGCTCTCCTGTAGGACACCCTAAATCCTAAAATGGGGCAACCACCGTCTCGCCACGCGTAGAAGTTTATTTTTATCGCTGTGGAGTTCATGTGTACGTGGTCTTCTGGTTTTGGTGGTTTGGGACCTGAAATAAAAAATCACAAAGATTAATTAATGCTGGTTTAAGTTTATGTTCTTTAAGACACTGTCTACCAGTATTTTGTGCTATTTAAAAATATTTAAAAGTAAACTTACGTCCTCCCCTAGTAGTGGCAGTCAGTATGTCACTGGGAGGTCCTATAGATATCCTATTTCTTGCTTGTATCTTTGCGTTGTACGTAGAACCGCACTTCAGCATGTCCATTGTGTAGGAGTTCACTTCGGGAGACAGGTCTACTGTGTGCCATTCACTTTCTGAAGCTTGCTTATAGTGGAGGAGAAAACCTGAGAAGAGTCAAATATGATATTTTGAATAATCATCGTGACAGAATTATCGTTGAATAAGATGTTGCCTTCATCACTAGCGGGTCTATATAGTCTATACTATATTACTATTTAGTCTCTAAATATTATCTTACCTAATATAGGTTCAGTAGTATCCCCTGGAAGCTGCCAGTGTAGCTTGATGCTGGAAGTGGTGGTGTACTGCAGGGATAGCGTGGGCGCGGCCGGCGGCATGATGGCAACCACCACATACACTATCGAGTCTTCTCCAATCGTGTTGCTAGCTGTGCACGTGAAGTTTCCAGACGACTGCTCATTTACTTCTGTTAATGAAATAATCAAAAAGATATACCTATGTCGCAAATATTTCCAATATATCAGCTATTTTATGAGTGCGCTTCATAACACACTCAACCTACAAGGATTTATACTTCAAAAAAGTATGGGTTGCTCTTTTTTCAGTTGATCTTACCTCGTATATGCAGATGTCCGCGATGCGTGACCTGGTAGTACTGGTGGTGTGTGACGGGCAGGCGCGCGTGCGCCCAGCGGGAGCGCGGCGCGGGCGCGCCCACGCACGTGCACGCCAGCAGCGCGCTGCGGCCCGCGCCCACCCACACCCAGCGACCGAACGACGCGATGCGCGCTGGGACTGAAACACACAGCATTCCTGTTAATGCTGTCATTTTAGGATAGCCTTACGCATCAACTAGTATATAGATAATGTAACCCATTTCAGTTGCAAGGACCAATGCGACTCTAGCTAGCTACTTATCAACCGAAGAGATTATTATAGAACACAATCGTATACCAAATACAGCTTACCCTCTTTCTCCATTATCTAAAGAGATCTATCTAATGGGAGTTAAATCTATTGACACGTTGCCCAACACAGCTTAGTTAATCAACTCACCGTGCTTTTAAACGGTAAAGCTTATTTTAAGCTTGGACATAAGTCCTCGGCAGTCAGCGGAACTTCGTGGAGCATTTCCGACATTTGGTTCCTAAAGCAGGCTATATTTACTGGTACATTTATGCCATGACTTACTTCTAGAACTAGGCCCTTGTCCGACCACGAGGGTGGACTCTCCTTCACCCGAGCCCGTAGTAGCTGATACCCAGAACTCGTACAACTGGTTCTCCATCAAGTTCCGCACTTGGAACATTAATTCTGTATCGGTTTTCTTATCTGCGGGGACCGTGAAACTCGAATGCTTGCCCAAACTGCAATGAAGTAACATTATAAGTTATATGAAAATGCCCATAAGCATGAAAATATTCCATCATGACGTTAAAGTATTATTATTTACCGTCCTGCTTCCCTGTAGTAAACGGTGTAATGTGTTATGACCCCATTCGGATGCACTGGGGGCAACCAACTGACTAGTACTGAGTCACTGGAAAATGCCAGCGCTTTAATCTTCTCGGGTGCTGAAGGAACTGTGGATAAAAAGACCATATTATCAATTAGGATACTTTATACCACATATTTTCAGTTTGGAAAACTTATATTATCCATATCGACTCAATACGATGAATATTAATATTTGAAACTTTGTTTATACGGTGCTTACCATCTTCGTCCGTCATGCAATAGACTGGTAAACTTCTTTTGCCGTCTCCAGCATTTGTAAAAGCAAGGACTTGTATGGAGTAGTTAGCATATTTACGGAGAGTATGCAAGTATGTGTCAGTCGTCGTCACACGTTTGATCTCACCAACGTCCACTGAAAAGAACATTGCATCTTTGTTAACTGCGTTTGAAGGTCTTGGAGAACCCGAAAATTAACAAAATTATTAGAAAATAGTAATAATATAGGAGGAGAAAAAGTAGAGACAGTAGTGTACCATGATCTGTCGTAATAGGTGAGTAGATGACTTTGTAGCCTTGTATGAGGCCGCCATGTTGTCCAATTGGCGGCGGGTTCCATGACACTTTCATACTGGATGACGATAGAGGTGAGCAGGATACTCTTGTAGGTGGCGATTCAGGTACTGGAATTTGTAATATAATAATTTAAAAAGTATATTGACTTAGTCATAATTATTAAACCTCAAGTTTAATCACTTATTATTTGTATATAAAATAAATAACTTAAGCAAAAGTTACACCTACCATGGAACAATTATTTATTCAACTTTATTCATTTGACTGTACCTCCTTCTAAAGTTGTAGCAGACACAGGCGCAGACGCAGGTCCGGCCGCGACGCCATTGAATGCTCTAACGCGCACTTCGTATCTTGTAAACTTGCGCAGTGCTGATAAACTTAGCTCTGTAGCTGACCAACCGTTGACTGTGAGTGTTCTGTAAAAAATATTGATGTGATAATGATTTGTGTTCTATTTCCTAGATTTCTAATAGGTCATGTGGTATAGTAAGGACCTGGTTGAATTCCTTAGCGCTGGTGAAGCAGGACTGAGCTCCACACAAGTGACAGAGTAGCCCAGAAGCTCTCCATGCCAGGCGTCTCGTGGTGGTGGCCGCCATGACACGTGTAGCTCCCCTGGACCACCGGGTGTTACATGCACATTCGTTGGTGCTTCTGATGGAGCTGTGGAAGTAAGACAATATAAATATTATTACTGCCTGTTTTACTGAAATTGCACAAATATTAGTATCCTTTTTGCTAAGTTTTATATAGTTTTGTTACCTTCTTCTTGTGTCTTCACTACAACCGGGTCGGTGTACGCACTCCTGTCGATTTGGTTGATGGCAGCTATCCGGATCATGTAAGCGGTATGCGGCTTGAGGCTGCCCAGCAGTGCTTCGTAATGTATGTCACCTTTCTTGGTGAGGCTGAAAAGTAACATAGAAAAATATTATAAAATAGGTTAATTTCATGTTTAACAAAACACAAGCAATTAATTTCGTAATTTTTTTCTATTTTGCTACTTACGTGACATGCGAGTGTGCGATCCCATGGACGGAGACGTTAAGTGTAACTGCAGCATCCCACTGGTTGACCCTGATAGCTCCCTGAGCTGATAACGCGCAGTACTGCAATGTGTAGCCAACGAGGGGAGAGTTGCCATCGAAGCCTTGACTCCAAGACAGGCGGACAGCGCGGCTTAGGATCTCCGTTACAGATAGAGAATGGGGAGTATCGGGTTTTTCTGAAGACAGAACATAGGTGATAATAATGGAAGGATTTTCAAGAAGCAGTACTTTCTTGATGATATACTGACCTTGGACGGAAAGATAAATGTAATGGTCACTGTGACCGTACGCGTTAACAGCTTGACACTTGTACACTCCAGAGTCCTGCCGGTCTGCCCGGCTGATGTACAACTGGGATCTTAAACCACTATCAGTCTTTGCTTCTGAGATGCTTAACCTGGAATCATTATTGTGAGATACTTAAGCATGTTTTGAAACGCGAATAGTTTACTTTAAGCTTGTAGGTACATATTCAGATGAATGTGCTCGTGCTTTATTTTTCTTGTCCAAATAGTGCCTTTTTCTTATTATTCAAGTATGTACATATTTCGACTGTTGATAGCAGACATAAGACACACAAGGAAGCTTATTATATTCTCTTACCTATAAGTATTAAGATCTAAGTGGTTCATGTTGTGTGCCCACGTCACTCGGATGGGGCTGTCTCCTCGCACATCGCACACTAGGGTGGCAGGCGCGTCTCGCCGTGCCGTCATATTGTGGGACGTTAATTCAAACCTCGCAGGTTCTATGGAAACATAATAATAGTGCTTGATATGGTGAAAGTAATAATTTAATACTTCTATAATTCTTGTGATTATATTATATTAAAATCGTGATTCTCAAGGAAGACTTCAAAGATAGGTGAAGTAATTTCACGTCACCTATCATTGAACATGCGAATTAAGAACTTACCATTGACAGAAACGAATATAGTTTTGGTAAGTGCAGATCCGACACCATTCTCAGATTTGCACATGTAGTTCCCCTCGTCATAGGGGAGAGCTGACTCTATCCATAGTGTTCCATTTGATAGGAACTGAAATCTGCCGCCTAGGTTTATTAGTGGAACATAGTCTGTTGATGACCCTGGAAATCAGGATACATTTAAATACCTAATCCGAAGACACAAGACATTCACCTATCATAACAATATATCATAATGCCTAGTAGAACATGCGACATTATTTGGACCTACCTCTTTGCTTCAGCCATGTGACCTGTGGTGCAGGTGAGCCCGTGGTCTGACAATGCAAGGCCAGTGGTTCACCAGCCAACACTGCCTCATCCTTAGGTTCCACCACCCACTTGGGGGAGACTGCAGCGTGCAAGCAAGGCAACTTTCTTTTATTTCTGGATTCAATACAGAATTAACATTGTAATTAACTTTCAAATAGGCTGTCAGTAAACATAACACTGCCAAAGTTAATCTATAGACAATGCAGTTCTCAATATAGTTAAGTACGTATGTAGTACAGTAACTAGCACTTTGAATGATAGTCCTAGATTTTTACATAGAAATAAAAAAATCGTCAAAGTCACAGGGCTAAACAAGGTATGTTTTCATCGCAAGAAAGTGAAAACTTTAGTAAAATAAGAATAAAGTCAAATGTTGCACTGTCTGCATAGTGCTGTCAGCAGTTATTTGCATTTCATAAATTTTTTACCTGTTCTTCAGCTGCAAAATATTGTTATGAAATATAAAAATTACGTATGAGGTACTTACTTAAGATTAAATCTAAGAACGTAATAAGTACTACTGTATTTTTTGAAAAAGTATACATATACAATTATACATATTGCCAAAAGTTTAAGTGTAAAAATATTTGATTTATTATCTCAACGGGAAATATTTAATAATTTATAGATCTTCTCAACTGACTGAATTGACAGGTTATCAAATTGCTTAAAATTGATGATACATTAAATCTTAAGTTAGTTGTAATTTGATGGAAAAGGGATTTAGGTGCCTATACTATAGAGGTAATATCTTTCCAAAAATTACCCCATATAGTAATTTAATTTAATTGACTTCGTTCATCACGTATATGAATAAAAAAGTAGTTTTCAACAACAAGAATTACAGCGATAAATAGACTTGAAATATTACTAATCGTAGCAATTAACTTATTTATAGGTACTCTGACAGGCTGACTACCTTTGTTACAAATACATAATTATATCGATGTCGATCGAATCGATCGAGCTCATTACGAATTTCACAAAAGATTTTGATGTAAATAAAATATGCATAAAGTTAAATAACTTTGAATCGAACACGTCCAAAGTGGAGATACTTATAAATAAATTTACCATTTTCATAAGCCATCTGAAATCCAACGCTGTGCAAAACAAAAATGTACAATAATTTATACTGTTTAATGATAACACGTTTACCGAGAAATAAATGTGCGCTGTGAGTAAAGTGCTGTTATAAGTGCATTTATTTCCGATGGTTTTATTCAATCTGCGCGGTATGAAATGCTATGTTTCAAAGATGCAACGTTAATATTCATTTTAAAATAAACGTCAAAGTCGATAAACACGAGTTGGAAGGAAGTGCAGTAGAGAATGAATAAACCCATCGTTACGTGCACTTGTTTGTACAAGGGAACTACTCGTCGTGGCAATATTGTGATCCTGCAAAGTAACCAGCATACAATATAGACAAAATAATGACAACTCGGTGCTCTGTGCAAGCGTGATTAGCCTCTTTGATGGTGGCAGCGCGGCGGTGGAGTACCTGATGTTAACTACAAAAACAAAGCTTTTATATCAATTCATTTTGTTCACGTTGTAGTGTTGACAAACTCTATTTTAAGCGATAGGTCCATATTATTTAAAACCTATTTAGTTAGTTTATTTTCATTAATATGTTAATTAAGAAAGCTAAATGAAGTCCTCTTGTTCTCGTCTAATTAAGTTACGTGACTACTGCCCAGAATAAAGGTTAGATGAGGTCTGGTTAATATTGAAAGTTCTAATCTTTCTTATAAATCATTACTTTCGAGACTTGAAAAAAACATTAAGATTTGAAATCACCACCAGTCAAGTAAAATATCTAGTTAGGTAGACTCCACCCGTCCCGCGCTTCCACATCACATGGACATCATGACGGTGCTTGGTGCTCTGGTGCATATTGACATGGCGGTTACCTTTGACCACCAGTTCGGCGGTATAGTTAACCTTGGCCGCGGTATTGGAGGCCACGCAAGTGTACAACCCGCTGTGCCGGGCGAACACCTCTTTGAATACGAGGTTGCTGAAAAAATCAGCACCTCGTTCTTCCACCTACACAACCAGGCCAGGTTTTGAAGATTTGCTCAGATACATAAGTTAGGTATTAAACAGGCATTTTTTACAGTAACCGAAAGATTTTCGCTTATGAAGAACCATCCTGAATTTTTAACTAACCTGTAAGCTAGAAGGGATAGGTGCGTTGTCTTTGAGCCACGTGAAGTGGACAGGCATGTCGCCTGACGTCACACTGCAGCTGACTTGTGCACGCTTGCCTTCTTGTAAGTTCGCAGAAAATGAGAATGGCTCTATTTCTGGAGGATCTACGAAATATGAATCATGTTAACCCAATATTCTTAAAATGGGCATTCGTTAGAGACTTGAATGATTAAATACTTACTGCTAACGACAAGCTGCAGTTCTCGCCTGGCTATCTCCCCGTGTGGGCCCATAACTGCACAAGTATAAGCCCCAGCATATGATGGCTCAACTCGAGCCACTTTGAGGGCACCATCAATACTACTGTCCCATTCTACTGGGTTGCCGTCTCGTTCCCATTTTACTGAACTGCACAAGGAAAAGTAATAAAATTAATGATACGGAGAGTGATAAGAATCGTGATTGGCGTATTGATCTTCTTACCTGATCGGGTAGCCAGAGTAAGGGCAATAAAGAACCAGTTCTCGTCCAGCTACTGCTCGTATTGGACCTATGGATCTTACGTATGGTGGACCTGCAATGAGGTACCAATTAAATAAAATATCAATTAAGTAAAGAAGAAGTTAGGAAAGTATAATTTTGGTGATGTCTTACCATAAATATTGAGTCTGGATGTATGGGACACTTCTCCAAGTGAATTGGCTGCTCTGCAGGTGTATAGACCTCCGTCTTCGGACCTCACGGCTGAGATGTTTAAGTAACTCACAACATCATTTGTTTTTGTCGCGAACTGTTCCACACTGTATCTGCCAAAGAGAGTATTGTTATACCAAATAAGTGTATATTGTTTGAAAATCTTGTAATCTGTCAATAGATTTTCCGCTTCATTGTATTTTAATACACTTCAAAATCTACTGAGAGTGACAGCGTCATAACAAAGGATGCACTGCCTGATTGCATATTATATTATATTCCACATACCTGTGTCCTCTAGCCATGGTGTTCAGCGGCTGCCCATCCAGCATCCAGGTGAAGTGAGGTGGAGGTGAACCAGCGGCAGAGCATTTGAGGGTAACAACCTGTCCTGGTCTTAAGACCTGTTCTATGAATGTGTATTGGAGTTCTGGGGCTGTGTCTGTGTGCAAAGAAAAGTATTTTATTTTAACATTTTTAGTAGTTAAAGTGGTCCGTCTATATTAGTGAAGCTGGTAGCAGCAGCTGCTCATGGCATATATTGTTTTCTTATTTTTCTTATGAACACATTTTGTCTTACTGTTACTCACCTCCTAACCTCAGCTCAGCACTAGCTTGAGCAGAGTCCCTCTCATTCCTGGCCATACACTGGTACACTCCCTTATCAGCTCTGTGTACTGAGGAGATTACCAACTGTTCGCCATTGTTCTGCACCCTGACCCTGCCCCCAGCCACTCCAGCACCGAGTGGTACGCCATTGTGCAGCCACTCCAGTCGAGGGGCAGGCCACCCTCCCCATGTGCAGTTGATAATGGCTGTGCCACCGCTATTTACGACCTGATGGAGATAAAATTATAATTTATACTGTTATTTAACTAAATTCACAGTACATAGTTTCGACCAATTGTTCAGTAAATTTTATTTGCAGATTAAACAAAACCAACCCATAACAAAAAATAATTCTCAATTCCAAGTGAAGTATCTTGTCTTTCCTTTTCCACTGTTTGTAAGTAAACAAACAAATAAATAGTATATACGTAAGTACCGTGCGATCATAACGGAAGAGAAGGTTTATTTGCTAATAAACGACACTATTTGCTTTTACGACGCCTCGTTTAATTAAACCGAATATATTCGCACAGAAATATCAATAATTTTGTTACATACGCCGATCTACATGTAAGGATGACTCAGTTCACAAAGACCAGTAGGTACCTGTAACTAAAAGATTTTTTGCACAACTGAAGTACTCAGACTCCCAGTCAAGGCCATTTTCGATATTCACAAAAAATATTTATTTTGATTACAAGTACTTCGCGACCAACATATCAGTTCGTCCCGAGCCAACCAAAACATTATTCCAAAATATGACAAAGATAAAGTACCCTTTTACCTATATTTATGCTACAATAAATCAGAGAGTTTGTCGGTATATTTTATCTTTATGAAAATGTTTGTGTAAGTAGGTGCGTATGTAGTAGTACACTCTTTAACTATTCTATTACGATACATAGATCCTTAGCTGTGGACGTTATAAAACCTTTCCTTAAGTAGCAACTTTTTCTTTCACAAAATGAAAATCTCGCCTCGGATTATACAGACGCTGACGCTTTACTAATTTTTACACTTAATTAGTTCGTTGGTGCACAAAAATACTGTTAGGTTTTACGAGTAGATATTATGTAGTACATTACTACCAACTTCGTTTTTTCTTTTAAAAATATTAATACAGTCCGGTTTTGTGGTCGCAGTACCTATATATATGTATTGGAGTCAGAATGTTGTTAGTAAATAGCACTAAAGTATTATTATAATAATAATATTATTATGTATATGAGTCAACCCTATCTATAACTGCGCGCGTAATGTTTGCGGCTCGGTATCGGGACGCATTTATTTTATTTTACATCGCAAATATCCTGGCGGCAGTAAGTTCGCGCGCTGTAACAATAAAACCTCCAAATATTCACGTATTTTTTAAACAATCGTCCATGATTGCTGTTTATTTTGCCTGATGACCGCATTGACTTTCAAATTAATTAAATATCTGTTTTAAATTGTTGTCAGATATGTAGTTTTATTTACTTGTGCATCACAAAGATATTGATCGACATTGCTACACCCAATACCTAAGTTAGGTATTTACGCAATCACACGCCTGTGGTATTAAGTCCTTATTATAGTTTAGTTCTATTAAAACTTATCATGTCTATCCAGAACAAAGTCTAGTTAACCTTAGTTTCCAATTTAAATAAACCAATAAACAAGAATAACAGTAGACAGGTCTAATAACATTCTAAACATGGCATTAATATGATTGTATGAATGTTAGCAAAATCAATAGGAACACTAGTGTTCAGAACAATGTCAGTGATCGAGCGATACACGACTGCAATCAGCACCTATTTCGCACATCCAAGCGATCATTTCGCAGAATTACGAGAGCATTTCACTGACTGTACACTGATTTTCCACTGCGATAGCTCTTTATGTGGCAAAGCAAGTTATCATTGTATCGCACCCGCTTTAAACCGTTGTGTTGGGATTAATATTTCCATTGAAGCTATTAGTTGATTATTTTGTAGGATTTAATTAATATCGTTTTGTTAATAAACAATTATACTAAATTATCTTGTCGACAAAGAGGTTAAGAGTTATTCCAAGTTTCATAATTGTGTTATTAGTAGAATCTAGATCGTCATTCGTTTGCATTGATATTTTTGCCATTAAGTAAGACGTAATTTTGATGTTTACAAAGAAAACAGTTTCTTGCAAATAAAAAGAGTTCTACTTAAAAAAAGAAGCTATGTCGTACCAATTTGGTAAGTGCAACATGCTACAAAATACCGTCTGAGCACCACCTCTACATAGTCAGGTAGTTAAAACAGGGCGTTGCTGCAAAGGAGCGCTCGTTTTCACTTCAGATTTTATCTGACACCAGACGCGGGAGCTGTGCGCTACATTTTTGCCAAAATACTTAGTATCCAAACAAGGTTGTCGTAAGTAGAACTTTAAAAACTTCAGGGAGTATAAATATTTGAGGTACCTATGCGTTTTTTTTGTCAAAAGAAAAACGGGAAGCAAAGTTTAAAACAAATCTGGCTGAATCTGAGCCCTTTTGGCCTGGGCTTAACGTCACATCAGAACTCTCATAAAGATTGAATAAAATTTTTAAGTAAATTACTAGATATGTTACATAAATGTTTAATAACTCATCAAGTATTCTACAGTATGTAACTAAGTACTATTGTAGTTTGGTATAGTAGGTATCCTTTTGATCAAGTAATTAATTATTGAGAGAACACTTACACATTACCTAAGCCTGAAAATAATTGAGTAGGTACCTACCCTTACGAGAGATTAATTATTTCTGGAAGATGTTTTAGACAAACTTAATTACAACCTTGGCCCTAGGTTGTTTTATTTATGTTCAATATACAATTCCTATTAAAGTACAAAGTACTGAAATCCTATCATATTTGGCTTTTGAACGAAATCTGAATCAGCATTTCCAAATTAAAAGCACCGGTGTCACAATTTCCGAATCTCCATCAATATTCAGCATCCAGCCTGCTTCGACACAAAATTTGTGATCCTCGTGTTATTTTCTCATCGGCAGCACGGCGTGACAAATAAAAAACCCAGTCACACGTTATTCGCGTCACGGATCACAGCTCAACGCTCGAAAAAGCAAACAGTAAAGTCTTCCGCAAAAACACAAAAATCGTAGCTTTAAAAATCGGATTGGGTGTAAAATAGACTTAATATTTAATTGGATAAGCGAGGTTAATCTTGGGAGGCAGTTTAGGTCCGCACTTCCAACTACAATATTTACAAAGGTCTGCAAATAGTGGAGCTGTTGAAGAAAGAAGTTGGTTTTATTGAATTAGATCGGAGGCGTAACGATGTTACAACGATTCGGGATTGGATGGTGTTCAATTGGATTGTATCTAAGGGCACGGTACAATCAGGCCGGCCTGCGAGCTGACTGGGCACTCCATGACAAGATATGCTCACGAATCAACTTTCCACCTTGACCCTTACAGATCAAAACAGATAACTAACAAGTTGAAAACTTCATCTTACTGTTGACGATTAGTCAATTTTAGTTAACAATCTGTCTTACTCATGTTCTTCTTTTCATTTCAAGAGCAGACTGTTGTATTGTGGTTAAAGGCTTTGAAAAATTCATTATATTACTGCCTCACGGTAATTTTCAATATATTATTTGAGTCAGGTTCATTACACTGTTACACGATTACATTTTTAGGAGTTTAATTAAAATTAATGGTGCAATTTGGCGCAGGTTGTTTCATTTATAAACTGTCACAGGCCACGGCTTACCGGCCGAGTTATCTTATAATTTTTCTTCATTATAAAAGGGTGTGGGCTGGCGTTACAATTTATATTGACTACGTTTTCTATTACACAGTGTTTACTTTTAGGAGTAGAATGTTGTTGTTCTTAAAACTCTTCGCGTTTATTTTTCAAAATAGTTAATCATACCTTATACATATATCTTTATGCGGCTTTAAAGGCGTCTAAATCCTACATTTCTAAACATCACTAGGACCCTCACTTTATTGAGAACATTACTCTGACATCTATAAACTGACCTCAATCACATTAAAGTAGAGCAATGACGTCATAACCACAATTGCCTGCTGCCAGAACCTATTAAATGCACGGCTGCATTAATGCACCCGTTTCAGTTGTGTACCTGTTTGTTTCAATTAATTAAAAAGCTTTTACTGCCCACCTCATGGCAGGCACGTCATTTCGAAAAATATTGCAAAAATATTACTCTCTACTCAACGTATCGAGTTTATTGGTGATATTTCAGCTTCGTTACGCGGAATGGAAGTTCAAACGTTAAGAGAAAATAAAACGCAGCCAATTAGATTATTCGCAATATTACGTTAAAAAGGGGAACGTATATTCTGATAAGAATCGTTATTGAATGGATTCTAACTGTAGTAAAATGTTTCGATAACTCTTTGATATCAACATAAGATCTTGAAGGGGAAAGTACCATAATATTAACTCTTTTATTTTGTTCTAATGATGACGCCAGGTACAGAAAAAAGCAGAAGATAAACTGCCTCACTCACTATATGTACTTGGAATAAAGGCAGGTAGAAGGAGAGGATCATGTATCTGAACTGACCTGTGTATGTGGTTGTGCATGTGCAGTGAGATGAGCCCGGACTGCGACATGGAGTCTCAGTGTCAGGTGCCCGTGAGCGTTGGCTGCTCTACAAGCCCAGCGGCCACCGTCAGCTATCTCTGCTCGTCTGATGCCCAGTGCATCATGGGTCCGGCTGTACCGGCCGCCTGCCTCACCATCGCGGATCTCCCGGAGAACTCCTCCACCCGTCTCACGGTACCATCTGAAAGTAAAAACAGAGTTTAGTAAAGTTTCTTTGATGGAGTAAAGATACCATTTGTTATGATTATGGTCTGATTTTTATGAACTTCTTAATAATCACACCAAATCTCATAGTACCCTAGCTCTTTGTCAGTGAGTCTCACAGGGCGCCCTCTTCCGGCACAAAGCGTGCGGATGAATGGCTTACATCTTTCCACACTTTTTATATGGAGTGTGCTCACATCACATCCGGTATCCGGAAGTCCTCATTAAATTTATATAGCCAACGGTTAGAAGCGCACAGAAAGGTGCTCTAATTTAGCGTACAATAAAGTAACCGTGATTGTAGGAAATTGTGTTGAGTACTTTTTTGATAGGAACTTCTTTCTTCAATTGTTACTGGGTTAATTTAATTTCGAGTCGTTTATGTCAAAGTTGTTATCGTTTATATGAAATCGTTTTATTTGAACATTGAATATAACAACCTGCGTCCGGTTCGATGATTGTTATTGCGTTACAAAAGGAATAAAGTGGCATTGGTTGACATTTGTTTTGAGTTGTTTTTATAAGTTAAATATAAATTACTACCTATTAAATTACCTACAAATACATAATAATAATATAATAATAATAATAATAAAAATCTTTATTTTCTCAAAATACTCTAAGGATACAAATTATATAATATGTTACAATAAAGAGAGACTGGTGTCTGTTAAAGGTATAACCTGTGTTACAGATCACCAGGCCCGGGTGACCCCCGGAGACATTGAACAATATAAGGTATTTACTTAATTAAAGAAAAAGGACAACATTGTATGAGTGTGTGTGTGTGTGTGTGTGTGTGTGTGGGTGTGTAACAATGTAGTGTGAGTGCGTGTATATGTGTATGTAAGTGAGTGAGTTGATGTGTATTATGTGTGGGTATGTATAGGTAAGTGAATGAGGTGGAAGTGTTGATATGAATGTAGTGATTGATAATTCTGCATCAGTTGTAGCTTAGGAAAGTGGTCTCAGAATTTTTTCAGTCTCCTCATAGTCTAGTTTATTTAGCCAGTCGCTGACGCTTTCTTTACATTTACTTCTGGTGAGATAATGAATGCTTAGCTCTTTATTTATTTTGTTATATAGGTATGGGCCTAAAAAGGTAAAAAAGTTTTGAGTGAAACCAAAATGTTTTCTTTCTATATGGCAGACGGTAGTAAGTCTTCTCCTGCTTGTGGAATTATCCGAATTAAATGGTAGCTGAGAGTGCATTTTTAGAACGGTGTACAGGATGAATAGCTGGCGAACTGTCAGAACATTGAATCGCTGATATAGATCATAGGTTGGGTAACGGAAAGGCAGGAATAAACTTACTTTAAGGATAGCCCTTTGGGCTCGTTCTAACTTGAGTAAGTAAGATTTGGCTGCACCACCCCACGACGTTATGCAATAGGTAAAGACGGATTGACATAAGGCATAGTATACAGTTTTAATTATTTTGTTATCTGCTACATGGCGAAGATTCCTAAAAATAAAGATTAATTTGCGGGTTCTGGTGGTTAGTGCCTCAATATGTAATTGGAAGTCGAGTTTATCATCGATAATAACACCGAGGTACTTAATGTTGTTTGTTTTTTTTAGTTCAGGGCAGTGACATGTTCCTGGAGGAGTTATGTGGCAAGTGTGTGCGGTTAAATGTAAGTTTGTATGTTCCTGCGTTCTTTTACTATAGGTCATATACATAGTTTTCCCAACATTGAGTGTGAGTAGATTCTTAGTGAGCCATCGAGTTACTTCGTCTAGACCCTGTTGAGCCCATCTAAACGCGTCTTCCCATGTGTCACTATGAAAAAGTAGGGCAGTATCATCCGCAAACGATACGATTTTTCCATTCTTTAATTCTGTTTGACATAGATCATTTATGTAGACTAGAAACAATGACGGGCCAAGGATACTACCCTGAGGGACGCCACACTCAATAGGTAATTCATCGCTTACCCAGTTCTCGATTTTAACTACCTGGGTTCTTCCATGCAAGTAGTCCTCGTATAACTTCAGCTGTAACCCTCTTACTCCTAGGTGGTCAAGTTTTTTGATCAAGATGGGAATAGATACTGTGTCGAATGCCTTTGCTAAGTCCAGATATATTGCTATTGTTTTATTCTTTTTATCTAAATTTGAAACAATATAATCTGTTACCAGATGTACTGCGTCAGAGGTAGATCTTTTGGCACGAAAACCAAACTGGGACTGAGATAGGAGATTATTTTTTTCTAGAAATGTTACTAGCCTATTATTCATCAGCCTTTCTATAATTTTGGACATGGTTGGTAGAATAGAGATAGGTCTGTAGTTGTTGACACAGCATCTATCCCCATTTTTGAAAACTGGAGTAATTTTAGCCTTTTTAAAGGCTCGTGGAAAGACTCCCGTTTCGAAGGACTTATTGCATATGAACGTTATTGGTTCAGTAAGAATATTTACATATCTTTTCAGCAAACTGCCAGATATATTATCAAGACCTACCGCACAATCATTTTTTAGATTTAAAATAAGAGATTTGACTTCATCTTCGTCTGTGGGTAAAAGAGCCAGTGATTGGGGGAATGAATCTGTATTACTGAAGTCAGCTTGGAAAATAGGGTTATTTTGCTTACATTTTTCTACTAGAGTCATTCCTATTGTTGCAAAAAATGAATTTACTTTGTTGACAGATTTAAGAGGATCTTCAGGTGAAATTAGTTGAGTGGATTGTTCATTCACTCTTTTCGTATATGTTATGTCTTTGATAATTTCCCACAGTTTCTTGTTATTTTTACCTGCGTTGTTTATTCTATCTTTTTCATATGTGTTTTTTACTTTCTTAAGAATGTTGTTGCAGAAGGTTCTGTATCTTTTATATGTTACTTGCATAATGTCATCGTTAGGGTTTCTTTTCGACTTTTTATAGAGGTTATCCCGATTTCTCATGCACCTCAGAAGACCAGGAGTAATCCATGGCTTCAGGATATGTTTGCGCCTAGTAGTGGTAACTAGTCTAGTATTGTGATTAAGTGCGTGATTGAAAGTGGATATTAAATAATCTGTGGCTTGGTTGACATCCAACATCTCGTACATTGGTGTGAAGTCGATACTTTTAATAGCGCTATCAAGACCATCTATATTTATTCGCTTGTGTTGGTGTTTCAGACGTTTATTATTTATTTTTGTTTTCATAAAAAGTACTACACACTCATGGTCTGTTATGGATGAATTTGGAACATAGCAGTGCGCGGTTAGTTTGGTTTTCAAAAGTATGTGGTCTAAACAAGCTCGGCCATGTGTTGGGATGTTGTGCCCTGGTAGCATACCATGAGAACTAATGAGGTTAAGATAAACAAGTGATCTATGGTCTTGATTGTCTGCAGCAATATCAATGTTCAAATCACCAACTATAACTATATTTTTAAATGTTGAGTAACTGCGTAGACAATCGTCGAGCGATTTTAGGAAATTGTCTATATTATTGTAGCTGGGTGGTCGGTAGATCCCGAAAATTATAGTGTCTGCATTTAATTTAAAGATTAAGCAGTTGGCATCTAGAAAATCTGGCTCAGTACACGTCGCGTCAATTCCATTCCTATAGTATATCACTACCCCTTCGTTTTGCGTCTTATTTTTGTTAGTATAGAAGTAATTATACCCGTCCATATGTGGGATGATAGGATTACGCGATAGCCAGCACTCGGTCAAAACAACGACATCCCAATATATTCTTGACCTATTAATTAATGTTTCAAAGTTTACTAAGTTACAATTTAAACTCCGGATATTTTGCGATATAACTTTAAGATTGACTGCAGTATTCAACTCCATCTTATAGCAACTATCTATACTACAAGACTCAGACTGGGCTACCGATATGGAGTCGAGGTCATTATTGATGTTATTAGCGAATTCAGCCATATTTCTGAGGAAATAACAATATGGTGCATCTAAGTGAAAGCATACAGACCCTTTTCATATTAAATGTGCACGTATATGTATACAAATAACTCAAAAGTAGATTAGTCTTCGTGCTGAGAGTTATTATGATGAGATGAGTATGTAAGATACAACTAATGTGTAAGCAACTGTGGGTTTGTGAGAGTTGTTTGAGAGTGATATGCTTGTCCAATAACGTTACAATTAGATTATAGTAAAATAAAATTAAAGTCAAGAAAGTAATCAAATTAATAATCGACATCGAGAATGAAAATAGAATCAAAGTCAAAATTTGACTCAAAATTAAATTTAGAGTTACAATTAAAATAAAAAAAATTACAGATACTATAATTGGAATGACAGTAATAGCTAGTCACAAGCTTAGTTCGTTTCTAAGTACCTTTATATCCTCTTCTCCATTCAAACGCCGTGTCGGTTCTCCTTCTTTCTTACGAATATAGACTTTTCCACCAGCAGTCCAACAGTACTTGTAATCATTAGTTTTCGCGAAGTCTCGAGCTAGGAAATATAACTTCCGAGCTTTATACGTCAGATTTTCTGATATAAAAATAGGTTTCGGAGAACCTTTAATGTGTAGGTGAGATGTACTTAGTTTGTTCGTCCTGTTAAACTTTCTACAATGCTCAATAATCTTTTCCTTGGTTATAACTGAGGTAAAATCCACAATAATTGGTTTATTTTCTGGTTTTCTTGTATTTACTCGTTGTATATTGCGTATGTCGCTATACTGAACCGGTACTTCTAATGTTTTGGCGATACTTTGAACTACTTCTATAAGATCAGTTTTTGATTCGCCATTTACAGCTGGAACATTTTTTATTTCTAGGCTTGATACTATTAGCATCTTGTCCTGAGATTCAATTTTGCTCTCTAGTGCCGCAGTATACTCCATATTACCTTTTTTTTCTCTTTCCATCCTTTCAAGTCGCTCCTTTAAAACATTATATTCGGCATAGAGGAATTCGACTGATTTAATAATCTCTTGGTTCTGTTTCTTTACATCATTTATTGCAGTTTGCAGAGTATCGAATTTCTTATTTTGCTCTTGCTGAAAGGTCGTCATCATCTCCCTAATTTCCAACATGAATCGCGATAATTCATCATCATGAGATTGTTTTATAGATCGAGAGCGGGTGCCAATATTCTGAGAGCCCATGGTGTCAGTTTTCTTTGTTTCTGATTTTGCAGCTATTATATCTTTTAAGCGGTATTTTTGTTACAAGCAATTAGGTTTAGTTTAGTAGTTAGCAAAGCCGATAAACCCAAGCGGATGCAGGTGTTTCACTATTCTTTAAATACATTTTTAATAATCACAATCACGTCCCGATGTAAATAATATACTTTCATGTACAAATTTATCAATAATTCACTATTTTTAGAAATAATTTAGATAGGAATAAATAATTAGTTGTTTACGCGTTGCTTGGCAACCAATAAAGTACAAAGTACAAAAGTAAATAAATACAATAATCATATCAGATGTCTAGATAACTTTCAGTTGTTTTCACAATAATAAACACGTAACTATGACTCCGATCCGTGCCTACATTGGTTTCAAATAACATTTTTTCCCAGCGGACTAGAAATACCCTCGTTAATGCGTTATTTTTCTCATAGTCGGTTGCTAGGCAACCGCACGTCGCGCAGTCATTACTACAAAGAAAGAAGCTGGATATATTTTCAACAAGGATTTAGGTTCAACTTCTGCCTAAGGCTTGTTTTCCTAACTTTGTTTAAATGTTATTTGCTAAAGAAAGTTAAAACTTAAGTTGGTTTTAAATGTACACTTTTTTGTGTGTCACAGAAATAAAGAATATAGTATAGATAATATTATTTTATCAAGATTAACTACGAAGTAGGTGAGATTAACTAAAAATCCTTACTAATATTATAAATCGGAAAGTGAGTTTGTTTGTTTGTTCCACTTTCACGCCATAACTACTAAACCGATTGCTTTGAAATTTTGCAGATGTATAGTTAGAAGTCCGGATTAAATAATAGGGTACTTTTTATCCGAGAAAAATGTGATATGCCCGAGGGAAAACAAAAGATTTGGTATAGATGGCGCTGTGTATATTGGTATATGTCACATTGGCTTTTTATCATTTTGTGACGCGAGCGAAGCCGCGGGTAAAAGCTAGTGCTTTAATAAAAAACCAAAGCAACGAAGAACTCAAAGTTATTCAATTAACACACTTAGATCACGAAAGTATCTTTAAACAAAAAGTATTCTATTTAAATAAGCGCTGGGAACTGTGCAGTGAAGTTGTTAAGTTCAGGCAGCTTTGTAACACGACCAGGCTATTTACCTTCGATGCCTGATCACTGTGAACACGTCCAAACTTTTCATCAAAGAAACTCCTTCAATGAAAACATTTTCTTCACAAACTTAGATCAACGGCAACTTGATTAAATAACAACTAAACTCGAGTAATTTTTATATGTTTTAAGAAATTTTGGAACAAAGGAGCCAGTGGGCGGCCCGCTACCTTTTGATGCAAAGCCATTGAAAAACATTTCATGTATTACATTTTACAGAAGTTTGGAAACACGAAGTTAGTACAACATTTTCATAATATAACATTCCATAACTTGAAACTTGTTTTTCCAAGAAGGGCCTTACCTTAACATCTTATATTACGGTATAAAATCTGAAAACAGTGTCCACCATGATCTTTAACCTATACAATATTGTCACGGTCACAGCCAAGTGCACCTACGTAATAGATGTTATTGCCTAATATCCTATCGTGGGAACGAGCAAGTAATATGTAGAACCGACAAAGATAACTACTCTACGTGTCCCTCAGCCCTGCGTCTGACACTCGATTAGATAACTTTACAGCATTGATCGTATCGTAGTTATAATAGTACTATAGTACAACCACATATACACACACACTCACACAAATACACACACACATACACACACGCACTCACACACATAGTTTATTGTATTTTTTATGTTTTTTTTTATATTGCTAGTATATTATATCTATTTTTTTTTTTATTGTAGGTATTTTCATTTTGTCTTTTTTGTAATTGTACACTTAACTACCCCATATCTTGTTTCTTATAAATATTTCCATCCAAAGGTTGTCTGGAAGAAATCACCATTGTGTGATAAGACCGCCCATTGTACGCATATTTACTTGAATTGTTTGTTTTTTTTTTGAGCTATTTAAATGTGCACAATAAAGCATATATAAAAAAATATAGTATTTACTGATTCTGTCAGTACATAATATAAAACGATATAACGTTAATTA